AAAAAAAAAAAAAAAAAAAAAAAAAAGAAAAAGGGGAGGAAGGGAGGGAGGGTTGTCTGCCTGTCATTACTGGAAATATATCAGCACGTGAGAAATGTATTTTTTTCTAGATAAGAAGATTCTAGGTGTAACCATACAGGAAACTCTCATATCCTAAAGGCATAGGTGAAATGTGTAAGAAAATTTAGCTTCAAAATGTACTGGAAGTCAGTGAGTCTGCTGCAAAGGATGGGTTGCCTGACCTGTATAAAACTGCCCTGCTGCATTCTGAACTTTCATCTGATGTTTCCAAAGACAATCCATACAGTGTATTGCTGCAAATCTTTCTTGGAATGGTAAAAACATTCTTATCCCACACAGTTGTGGAAATATTTATGGAAAGATGATAGTCCTGTTGCACCCGCAATCTTTCATAATAGAACAATCCGCTGACAGCAAGCAGTAATTTTCCATGTATAATTCCTTGTTATCGGTACCATCCCATCTGTGGCCCAGTAAGAGGGAAAGTGGATGTTTTTATAACCTTTTGGTTCAGTAAGAATTTATGACCAACTAAGATAGTGTGCAAAGCATTACTAGGGAGAACAAGCAGCGATACTGTTAGGCAATCCCTTGGGCACAGGTAACACGCAGTGCCAAAGTATCTGTCTAGGCCACCCTTTGAACTAAGAACTATCCTACTCATTGTTTCCTGAAGAAGGTGACAACTGACACATCGTCTCCAGGCAAACCTTTTCCTGCTTATCCAAACCATGCAAGATTTCACCACCGTTGGGTGACCACAGTTGGATGTTTTTCCCCCCTATAAAATGTCAAGATTTAGCTATGTCACATTTTCCGAAGTAGGGTGTTTTTTTTGTTGCTGCTGTTTTGCAAACCCGGGGATTAGGGATGGGAGCAGGAATCTTTTCCCCACCTTCCAGTATCCTTGAGAGAAATGCAGAAAGTTTCTTAGGCTGCTCACTAATAGATAGCAGCTGCAGGGTAAAAGGCAGCTTTTCCCTCTGACCGCCTTGGATTTAGTCACTCTTTGTGTGTGTGCTGTGCGCTCAGCACAGCCCCCAGCCTGACGTCAATGGGAGCCCTTCCCAGAATGAGTGCATGATATTCAACAGGGGCTCATGCTGTGGATGCAACACCTGCAGTGTGGGAACAAAGTAGTTTATCTGACCTCTTTCTCTTAAGATCGCATTATCTCAGCCTTCGGATTTGGCCAGCAAACTAGTGGATGTGAATGCAGCAGGCAAAAGCCTATCCTACTGTTCATGGACACAGGCTGCTACAAATACAGCAGGACATATTTATATATATATATATATATACATACATACATACATACATACATATACACACACACATTTATATATATATATACAAATATATGCATACACACACACACACACACACACGAGAGTTTATTCCTGCCTCTTACAGGATGTGCATTGCTTTTAATTCCCTGCTCCTTCACTTTAAAAGATTAAGGAAAAGCATTGGGGGGGGGACCCTCAGGTATTGGAGGAGTGTTACTAACACCAGAGAATACCTCGCTGGATAGCACGCAGTGGCTTCCTGCCTGTGGGCACAGATCTGTCATGCCAAAATGCCAGGAAAGATCACAACAAAAAAAACATTTAAACAGCACTATGCAGATATTTACGATCATGAAAAATCAGCTATATAGTCTTCTTGAACTGTCTTGCATGGGTCGGTAAGACTGTATTGTGCATGAATATCAGAAAGAAAAATACATGCCGGACTTCTACCTCTATTTTGTTTTCCCTATTTGTGCTGTTGTAACGGCAGTTTCCTGTGCTTAGGGTGATCAGTTGGAGAGGAAGACCAGACTGGGTTTGGTTTTTTTGTTTTAGAGTTGTTTGGGAAAGGGAATCTGGGCAAGTGTTATCTTTGGCACAAATGAGACAACCCTTGCTGAAATGCCCTTTTTTGAACAATTTCTTGATCAGGAATCAGAAACTTGCAGTCTTAGGGCCGTTTAATTTCATAAGGCCCTCGGCCTAATTTCTAGATATCTGTGTCAGAGATCTAGTCAAACAAAGCAATTTCTCTCTTTCCTTCAGCAAGAGAGAGTGTGAAAAAAGGAAGGGGGAAAGGTAAGGAGAATCAGAGAAATAATAGGTATTTCCACTCACATGTTGAGGTCTGGCCCACAGCTGTTGTTTCACCTTTGACAGTGTGTTTAGCAGCAGAGTTGTAGTAAGTATTGTGTAGCAGGACTAGACGTCAGTGTGCTTTATCTTCTTCTACTTCTCCCTCTCCCTTCCCAAGGAAGTGAGATAATTCAGATGTTCCCACCCACATGTAAAATGCTTATCATTTTGAAAGACAGAGCAAGATTCAGAATAGTGATACTGAATATGGAGCCGCAGAAGGCTTAGGACATTTAGGAGTTCTTTAGACACAAAGCCTCAGCTACTTTCAGCATGAATGTTAGTAAATAAAACACAATAAGTAACCCATAATGTCCCTTCAAAGGAAACTGAACCATGGAAGTGCTGGAACACTTGATTCCTCATTCCCCCTTGCCCAGTTAGAGAACTGCGCATTAACAATATTTGCTTGAATCTATCCTGAAGTGCTGGCTGAACTACCCTCAACTCATCTTGGGACTGGCTCAAGCACTTATTTTTCTTGAAGAATTCTAGGGAAAAACCTCATCTATTCTCTCAAGAGCACTCTCCTAGCTTAATAGTGTTGACAAACATGTACATAGTGCTCCACATGTAGCTGCATTGTAATATTGTCCCAGGGAAGCATAACATCCCAGCACCAGACATCTCAAAATCCAACAGCCCTCTCCCTCCCCAAAACATCTGGAGCAAAAGAGGAGTTTAGATCTGGAAGCAAGCAATGATCACAAGGCCCATCAGCAAGAATCATATGGGAGAATGACTCAATTAGATGACTTAGCCACCCAGCAAAAGGCAATATGGCAAGGTGATTTGCCCAGACAATTCACAGCTATCAGTGAAAGTTTAATTAAGAATAAAGGATTTCTATCAGTGACAATTTTACAGCCACAATCAGGAAAGAAGCCAGTGAAACAATTCTTGATTTTTTTTTCCCTCAGCAGCACAGCTGTGATTACACTCAGGTCTTTCTAGGCCAAAACAATAGGAAGAAGGTTTTGCTGCCAGCAGAACTCTCTCTCTCTCTCTCTCTCTCTCTCTCTCTCTCTCTCTCTCTTAAATCCAAATATACTATGTCACGATATAATTAAGCAACATAGTCTTGGTGTCACATTACAAAATTGGCATAAAAGTAATAGGGCATATATTTAATATTCAGCAAACTCCATGGGATTCTTTTGAAGCCATATTTACCAGCCAGACAAATTGGCTTGTATCTTACATGAACCACATCTTAGGGCAGCTGTGTAAATCTGTGCTGATCCAACATTCTTAGTCATGTCCCTGGAGATCAGTTGTCTTTTGTTTTGTTCCTGACAATAAGTTGGTAACTTTACATTCCCACTCTAAGTACCTTTTATCATAGGTCTTTAAAAAACACATTTGCATAAGGAGAAAGGATCAGGTCATACTTCTGAGCTGGTTAGATGTAGAAAAATCCAGCAATGTGAAAGTAAGTCTGTTATCCACAAGTGATGCTATTAGATGTGTATTTTGCCATTGAATGGGCATTTTTTTTCCAGTTAGAACAATTCTTTTGAATCCTTTTTTTGTTTTTGTTTTTTGGAACCAGTTCCCATTCAATTTTATAAAAAAGAATGTATTTTTCCAACAAATCCTTTTGAAACAGAAGCAAATGTTGTGAGAAATTCATATGAAAGAAGTTCAGCATTCTGGCACTTACTTAGATAGGAGGTTATAATAATCTCTCCAGAGATCTGTATCTTCCTGGATCCCCATCCTTCAATTAAATTCCATGGGAAGCCATAAGGAAGGACCCCCTCTTCCCAAGTAGTAGTAGTAGTAGTAGTAGTAGTAGTAGTAGTAGTAGTGCTACTGGCCTATCATTTTCTTGAGCAATTGTTTGAGAATTTCTCTTTTTGCTGGATAAATTTTCATACATAAGTATTTTTGTGCTTGGGTTCAAAATATAAAGTGATAAAAAAAGCTTTTTTTTTTTTACTATTATACCCATGGGAAGACCCTCTATGTCATATCAATCTCCTGGAAGAGTTCTTTACAGTAATAATCTAGAAGAAATTTTGGGGGGGCACAGAGAATAGAGAGAACCCATCCTACTAGCAGATACCATGCCATAAGCATCTGAACCTTGTTAGACCTAATTCTTAACAAGAACATAAACAATGTTAGTTATTCTTGATTTTCTTTGCAAGTAATTTGCACCTTTTCAGGTTGTATCGGAATAGTGGGGCTGCTTTAACGTAGGATCATACCAACACTAGTACAGTATGGCATTTAAATGCTGGCAAACAAATGGGTAGACCAAACACATGAGTCTTTCTACTACATTAAAATAATTCTGAAACTATAAAGTGGTATTTCCCATGACACAATTATGGTACCTCAAGAATGGCTCAATCTTATTAAAATTAGTGAGCTTAAAATGCCAAGCAAATTCATTTTCAATTCTGATTTAAGTATCTTATCAGTGAAATTCAATGATAATTTAAGTACAGATTTACAAGCTTGAGAAATATTCTAAAATTAATTCATGCTAAAATATAATTTACCTGTTTGTTGTCCAGTGGCCACAGGTATTACTTTGTATGGAGTCCTGCAAGAGACCAAAAAAACCCCCACTTACAGCATGTTTTTTTTAATGATTAATGCTACTGTGGGAAAAAGGAATGCTATGCACACCCCTTGGTCATCTGAAGAAAAGGCAGGATATAAATCTAGCAGTCAAAATAAATAATCAATATGCTGCAAAATATAAAAGATTACTAGTGAAACTTACTATTTAGGTAGGGAAAATGTACTTGCCCACCTCCATTAAAGACAGGATGTCTTCACTATGATCAGACTGTGTTGATCACATATATAGTTCTGCAAACTTTAATGGAACATAACAGTATATTGCTGCCTGAGGCTGGGAGGATTACAGTGCGAAGAATAAAACTGACTTTCAGCGTAAACAGCTGTGATGAGAAATGATAGCAGAAACAGAGTAGTCCGGGGAAAAGCAGAGGAGCTCTGGGAATAGGAGAGCCTTAGGCTTTCTGACCACTAATTAATACACATGTCCCAAACTCCCTTCATTCAGAATGATGATTTGTTTGCTTCTTCCAGTAAAGGACCATCGATGCCTGTAAATCCAATGTAAACCCTCAGAGGAACTCAGATATTTTGTTTTTTTCTATAAGCTACTTCTTTGCAGCATGTTTTTTTTTCCAGATAAAACTCCATACACTTTAATAATATATAAGGTTTTAGTTAAAGGATCTCTAGAGCTGTAATAGTTTGAGTAATTTTTGCTATCTCTCACAAATCAGGAATACAAAGGGACAACTGGTGAGTAAAAAGCTCCATTTCGCCAGGCTAGCTTCAATCATAAGAAGATATACCTTTCTGAGTTGGCTGGCATGGTGGGATCAATGGATACCATGCAGTCATCAGCTGTGAAGAGTGAAATGGTTGTATTCCTGGAAGACAAAGTTTAAAGCTAGGTTTATTTAACCAGGTCAGACCCTAGCCTCTTGCACTGCCACCTCATATTTTTAATTGGAAGTTTGACAGTTAGTTAAAAAAGTTGCTGCCTTTTTAAAGGGGCAAAAGGCTACAATTATTTAAGAGAAAAAGAGTGCCAAAACAAATATTGCAGAATGCTATTGTTAAATTTCAGGTTAAGAAAGGCTGGAGTATTCAAATAAATACCTTGTGTTGTAGGGGAAAACGGGATCATAGTTTTGAGATACCCCCAATATTGTTGGTATATCCTCTGCACATTCAGCAGAAAGTGAATATACAGTTGCATGTATATAGATTTCAGCTGTGCAAATAGGAACATGGCCTAGAATTTTTGCAGGGGTATTTGCAGGAAAGTAAAGAAAATCAATAATTGTACAGCTGCAATCTTACTTTTTTGGACACACACACCCCACCGGCACCCCAGGGCTTTTGCCTGGAAAGCCTATGTCTGTCTGAATGTACAAACTCTTTCATGATAAATGTTGGACTGGGTTGCATTGTCTGCACAAGACATGACTTCAAAAATATTCATGCTATTGTATCACATATTCATTGCATCCATTATGTGTGTGTGTTAATTGGAATACTGCTATTCATACAAATGAAAATGGTGATTCAGTACAGGTAGTCTCTGGGTTAAATATGCCCAGTTTATAGACAATCCATAGTTAAGAATGGAACCCACTGTAGGAAAATTTGAGTTAAATACCCAATAATTCAAGTTCATTATACAATACTACTTATACAGTATCATACAATAATACCGTTCTGGCTTATATACAAATTCAACTTAAGGACAGACCTTGGGAACGGAACTTGTTATTAAACTGGGGACTACTTGTATAAATATTTATTATACAACTATGCACTCACTTCTTCATCTCTTACCTGTGAGCAATAGCAGTCAGATAATTCATTTCTTTACATACAAATAGTTCCATGATAACAATCTGAAACAGATCTGTATTATTCTTACTACTCAGTTATTTACAGGAAGAAAAAAAATACCTGATTTTTGTTTGACATGTAATACCAGCAAAAGAAACATAAAAATCAAGAATCTTTCCTAGTTAGAAGAGAAGATTTTTCTTTCTCTGGCATTTTCAGTTAGTTTTAAGTGCCCACATTATATTGAAATAATGGCTTTTATGTGTTTTTATTATAGTTTCCTTACATTATTTTAAATGAATGTATTATATTGTTATTATTTTAATGTTTCAAGTAGCATAATATGCTCAGAGAACTTTGGAGATTGAGTGGATTAGAAAAATGTAACAATACAATATATCTGCTCCCTATGCTGCTTTCATTTACCTGGGCTTGTGGAATCACAACTACTATTTTTTACAAAAACTATAAAAAGGAGCATCTTTAAGTATGTTTGATAACTTCTCTGCAAACACACATGTATGTCGGGAAAAATGTTTTTCAGGTCAATACTTGTCAGGCAGCCAAAGCTTTATTTCCAACCTGAAAATTCAGTAGGTTAAATTTGTGTTGCCTCTTGGTGAGCAAAGTGCTTTTATCAGCTGTTTATGAATTGTTTAGATTGTTAAATCAAACCTATGTGGCAATTACACAGAAGGTTTCAGTAGTCCAGGCTGTTAATATCCTCAGATCTACATTAAGGGAAGGTGAGCAGGCATAGAGAGCACCAAGAAGACAGCACACTGGCTCAAGGGTACAGCAGAGGTTCATGAGGTACATGTGTTAATCGGACAGCAATTACATACAGATGAAATGAGACAGGTGCATGTTGCAAATGTGAATGGTATGGGTCTTAAGAGCACTGGGAGGCCATTAGAAAAACCATCTGTAGCTAGTTGAATTTTTCAATATTATATGCCAGTTATAAAAATCATGACAATTTAAGATAAACACTTGAAGTAAATCTTTAATCTAAACTACAACTCAGTTACAACTAGATGACCAAACTTCAAAATCTTCCATCAGGAAAGCTCTGCAAAGGTGAATACCTTGGCTGACAGCTACTGGAGCAGCCATCTGGGGACTGAAGCTACATAGGCAGTTAATGTAACCATGCCAAGTGCAAGATGGTTACACAAGCCAATTTAGTTTCATATTAGCTTTCAATACAGTGAATGTTTATGAGTTGTTTATGCCTGTCATATGTGAACAAAGCCTAAGGCAGAACTCCAAATATCAGTGCAGATGTTTGCGCCCTTCCTTTTCATTTTTAACATAATGATAAGAGAAGAAGCAAGAGAAGAGATATAAGTAATAAGTTACCTTCACTAGCTTTAGTCCTAATATCACTGTAGGAGAAATATTGCGGTACTAACTCACTTTTCATTCTAGAAGGTGAAATGGCAGTTTAGTTTCCCATCAGCTTTTAAAAGAACTCATTCTAATGCCAGTATACTTCAAATCTTTACTCTGCATTCATGTTACAAAATGCTGGTTATGAGGTTTAAACAGTCTGGACCTAAGGTACCTGCCTCTCTTTGAATCTGCCTGCCAGTTGAGATCCTGGGAGGAGGTTCTGCCTGAGGTTCCATTTTTATCAGCGCTAATGCATCACAGAAGCTAAAAAGATTAAAACAGGAATCCAAAAATCCCTAGTTCTCATTTCTTTCAAACTTAGTCCCATCTGTAAAAAGGAGGGTTAAAAAATACTGGCTTACCTTACAAAGTTGTAAGAATTTTAATTAAATAGTATAGAATTACTTAAAATTCTGGGTTTTCTTAAACAAAATTGATAATGAAATATTGAAATCTGGTGCTCTATCATTTTCTTTGTAATTGTAATTTTCATCACATTGTATTAGTTATTGCTTATGGGTCCAGTTTTTAAGAGAGAATGAAAACAAGGCAATTCAATGTTTGCATTCTTTAAAATACATAAATACACTTACATGATATTTTCATCTTTCATAATGATAGACAATACCTATTCTATGTTCTTTATAATCATGAAAAGAAGACATATAAACTCAGTAGTTCACATAAAGAATCCCTGGACTTCAGAAAATATTTTTACCTTGGTAATCCTGTAGCAATGCAGAAGAGCTCCATAATATCTCTAGAGTTACAATACTTGCTGAAGGTCGCCTTCCAAGGAAAAGAGAATTAGTGAAGACATAACCAGAAGAAAGAGCTTCTAATGGCACTTTTAGTCTATGGCAACTTTAATGTATACATTGTCTGATTTTTGTTTCAAACCAGGTGTGACCTGGTTTCTCTTCCATTTATTTTTCTGAAGCCTTTATTGTGATTTCTGTTTGGAAAGACAATTCCAGCCAAACTGTTTATAAAATTCACATTGTGACAAAAGGCCATCTGCATTGCCAATCCTCCAAGGTCAAATAGCTGCAAAGCGACTATGTCTATTAAGGGGGACTTTGGTCTTACCCAATTAATCATTCTCAGTCAGGTCTCTTGAAAATATGATGTGTTCCAATGTATAAGAATACAGTAGATATCATTTCCAGAACTTTATTTGACCTCTGTTAAAGCCAGGTTAAAAAGCATGGCCTATACCACTACATCAGTGTTTCTGAAACTTGGGAACTTTAAGATGTGTGGACTTCATCTCCCAGAATTCTGGGAGATGAAGTCCACACATCTTAAAGTTCCCAAGTTTCAGAAACACTGCAGTACATGATTAAGCAAAACAAAACAGCCAAAATCACCTGTGGTTATCAACTGTTCAAGAATCAGTTACAGAAAAGTTCAGAAATGGACAATTGCTTTTAAAATAAAATATTTGTTCACAATAATTTTTTTGTTTTAATGTTTTTAATTAACTTTATAATCTGCTGAGAAAACGTGGATTATTGGGCAGACTGAAAGTATAATAACTAACAGATAATGGACTCACATGTCACACTAATCCTTACTTGTGGTGTATACAAGTCATAGTTAAAACAAACAATTGTTTAATACAACTTCTGAACTGAGCCAAACAATAAAGCTGATCAGTTATTCATATGATAGTTCCACAAATCTGGGTAACAATAATAATAGTAATAGTTTATTTGGTCAGTGACCAGCAAAATTAAAAAAAAAATACAACAGCAAAGTAAAATCGAATAGATGAGACAAAATACTAGCATACAAAAATAAAACAACACATATTTGTGACATACACTGCTATAATGGTGCATTAATTACTGGGTAACATAATTTGCATGTGTGCATTCTATATACACATATTTACTAACCAGATGTAATGAATTAGCAAAGATAAATAAAGCTGGTTGATTATTTGTATGATAATTCCATAGATCTGGAATTTGCATCTAGATATTCTATATACACATATTTATAAATGATATAGCAAATGAGCAAAGATCACAGAAGCAGCCAGTGAGATTCTTATCTGTATAATAGCTGATTAGGAGTAAAATGACGTGTTTTAATGAAGGTTTAAAAGTATAATATGTACAGGGAAGGATGGAAGGGTGATAGAATACTAACCAACTTCCAACTTCCAGCAGGTTGACCCTTATCAAATAACATTCAGCAGGAAAGTTGAACAAGTACAGCAAAAGTTTCGGATACCTTTAAATATAGTGCCCCCTAGGGCCAAAATCATATAACATTGCTACAGATACCTTTCTTTTACGTTCTTTTTTAGAGCATTCTAATATAAAAACAACATTTTGGACAGCATGACTTTATTTTTGATCCATTTATTGTCACCTTTTAGGATAGCTCATGTTCTGAGGCTATACCCTTTCTACCATTTTTCCACACAAGAAATTAATTTGAGGTAAAACCAGCTAATATTCTCATAATTATAGCAACAGGTCCTGCATCTTCTATGTAACTACAGTTGTAAAACTAAAAAAAAAAAATTGTTGTTTATCTAAATCAGATCCACATCTTACTGAAATCCTTGGCAGAAAAAAATCAAACAAGCTGGCAAGAAGCACTGTCTGAAAAAAAAAAAAGGATTGTCTGGCAGAATACCATCTGTTAATGTTTGGGGAATGCAATCAGTGTGGTCTGATGAACTTAGAATGAACTACTGAAATATGCCGGGCCACTGAGCCTCGAAATCAATTATCACTGAATAGAATGAATGCAAAGTAAGTGAGATATGGCAATAGAATTAGAACAAATGGAAGTCAGATAGTTAGCCTGGTTAATTAAGAACCAAAGTGGGAGAGATAATAAAATAGGGTTCTCTTTTTTAAGTAATAGGCAGTAGTGACTAAACAAAGTTAAGAAACATATTAAAACATATTACTTTATTGTCATACATATCCTGATGTGAGATTCAGTTTCATAAAAGTTTGTTGGTTTTCACTAACAAAAATAGGGGTCTGCAGATGCTGTAGATAAACACTGTGCCTAATAAAATGCTCATTGCATTCTGATAAGCATCTCAGGAAATTATCTGAAGGATTCTTTTTTAAGCCAATCATATTATGCTCTAAATAATCTTTTTTCTATTCTGTAGGAAAGAAAAAGAAACACAGCTGCTGAAGGAGAATATTTTGCCCTTTTCAGCACTTCAGATTGGGTTAACATCTTTTTCCTCTCAAGCAACTCTTCAAACTATGGTTCTGTAATGAGAGGTAAGGATCATTAACAAGGGATTTTAGAGCCATTTCATTAAAATATTCTCAGGATTGTTTGAAATCTGTCATGCTGGTTAAAACTGTATACACACTGACATAAGGATAGGTTCTCCAATTCAATGGATCACTTGATTTCTTGATAGACCTGAGGTCTGTCTGCTCAGTATGTAAACCAATCAACATTCATTCAGGGTACTAATATTCTATCTTGAAAGAGCCATCAGCAAAGGTTGGTCCAAACAGGCTGGAGTTTGCATGCAGCCAAGATGCCTTTAGATGCATCTATTGACCCGTGAACTTTAGGAAGTGCCACCTGAACACTGTGATGGAGGCCCTTTGCTAATGTTACATATCTTAAAGTTACCAGGCATGACCAGGTCCATGCCACTGGCTCCGCTCCACTACCTCCAAGTTGGGTGATACTGAAAGACAAGCTCCTTTAGACACTAGCTGTGAGCTTAGGAGCTTCACATAACCAGATCCCCAACAGCACAGCCATTCTGATCATGTGAAGTCCTTCTCATATAGTGGACCTCACTTCAGAAGTTCAGGATTCAACCAATTGGATCAGGGCAAGTTGAGCTATATAATGCAATTCCATTCCATGGAATTCCTTCCCACATATAACTAATGAAGGAAGCTAACAGCATTCAGGATTCTAAATTGTTCCTAAACTAACATCAAAGGGAAGACGAAAAATCCATTTTATGCTGCAGCCACCTCTTGTTTCACAAATTTGTCCTTTTCAAAATAAGAGGCAGCTTCATGTTTGACACAAATAGAGGAATGAATGGCAAGTCCTTTTTGCACTTCTTGTTGAACAAATAAAAAGGGAAATAGTTGTATTTCCATAATGGGCAAACCTTGAGCTGAACCTACATCTGTTCTTGAAGTGGCATTCCCCCTTCACATTTCCTGTCCATGCTGCATCTTTGAAATTTACGAATCATGCATAAAAGAAACTCAGGTTTTATCATCAGTACCCTAATTGTCCCTCTAGGCTTCCCAACAGATTAGAAAGAGGGAGGGACCATGCCTCCATCTTGCTGCTAGTTGAGGTGACAAAGTCCTAGCAAGCTGCCAGTTTAAGGGAGATAATCAGTAGCTCTGCCCCCTTCCCTTCTCCAGGCAATTTGTGTGCATTTTACATGCCTGAAGAGCCAGGACACTCTTGATTAGTTAGAAACATACGTGCCCATAGCGTTCTAGCTCAATAACACCTGCCCTTAATGTATACTCTTTATGAGGGCCCTGGTTAGTTAGCATCACTCTAAGAGGCAGAGCTGAGAACCCAAAGAAGCACAGATGCAACAGTAAAGAAAACCAGTCAAGACAATATTTAAGAAAAACTATTTATATAATGATTTGATGTGTGTGTATTTCCTTTGATATATATCTTCCCTACAGTATTCAGTTCAATACTAAAGGTGAGTAACCTACTTGAAAACACAAAGGTCAGCCATCATGTTTAAAGGACTATGTTTGTATAGCACTGCAAAAATAGATAAAATTAATTCCTACCATATTAAAAGGACTGGGGTAATCATTCTGATACATATAGAAATAGAAAAACACAAATGGCTTTAAAATGTAGGGCTCTTATTCCCAAATGATGTGTTAGTAAGCTGCTAGATATATCTCACTGGTGGATGCAGGGAATACATATAAAACTTGAAAATATTACAGCAAATAGCATCTTCATTTTATTAGCTTCATCTCCTTCAGCCTAGTCTTACATTTTCTAATAGTTCTCTTCTTATTTCTCTTATTTGTGAGTAAATCTCCAGCAGCTTCTGCAAAAGTGACAGCAACTAATGGCAGTCATTTTCACCACTGCCAGCAGCGCCAATGTGGTGTATTGCAGCAGAGCTGGGCAGACCCAGGTTCAAATCTATTAAGTAATGAAACTCACTGGGTGACTTTAATGAGATGCTTTGTGCTGTAGAGACAGGAGGATTTGTCTCTTCAAGGCAATGCAGTTTGGCCTGTTGAGGCATTTATCTTCACCTCATGTCCTCCTTCAGCATTTAAACAGCTGGAAGAGACAATCAGTGCATGTACTATGCATGTGTAGAAGCTTCATCCATGTAAGGGATGTGCCAGAAAACATAGTTGGAGAAGGCAAGGGGTCAAATGGCCTTGCTAAGCAGCTTGGAAGGGGTGCTTTGCTCTAAGGGAAGCACCCCCTTTGACTTTTGCACAAACCTATTAAATACATTTGAAAAGCCTGATTAGAGGTTGATCAGCACTTAGAGGACTCTAGCACAATAATCATACTAAACAAGTAATCACCAGTGGTTCTTCATGAAATTGGAGTGCCCTAAAATTCAGTCCTGTGCCCTGTATCTTCAACATTTTAATTTATAGCTAGGAGAAGGAGATCAAACCTGAGAAGGTATAGAACTGAGAAGTTTACCTTAGAAGATAGAAATAAAATTTTAAAATAATATTGATAGGATAAGGAAATGAGCTAACAGAATAAAATTTAACAGATGTAATGCTCTTCATTTAGGAAATGCACTA